CTGAGGCGGGGGGGAGGGCAGAGAGGCCTGGCCTGTGTCTGGGGTGCTGTCTACAGGAGGGGGCGTGGAAACAAGAGGCAGCTCCCCCTCAGGCTGCCTTGCCTCCTGCTGCTGTAAGAGCTGGAACTCGGGGTGCAGGGTGGACAGCTGGGCCAGGGTGCTCAACACCCCACTATACAAACCGCTCCAGTGTCCCTGCCTGCCTGTGCAGCTCCCTCCCTCTGTCTCCTGCAGGTACCTCCTCTCGCTGGGGGCCAGGCTGGATGCCACCAACGACGAAGGGGAGAAACCATCTGACCTCATTGATGCTGATTCCAAGGACCTTGTGGCACTTTTCCAAGCTGCCAGGATGGCCTGAGGGCAGTGGCCTGGGCCCAGGGCAGGGGAATATGCAGGGACGCCAGGTGGTGCTGTAATGTGTGCGTAGGAGAAGCCTAGAGCTGTAGTGAGTTCACCCTAAACTCGACTGTAGGCCCCAGTCTCCAGCTGCACCATGGGAAAATGTCCCCCCCCCCCCAAGGCCTGGCCCTGCGCTGTGGCATGGGGCCAGTACAGCAGCCGGCTGCGCTGGCAGACTGTGGTCCTGCTGCGTGGAGGCTGGGGCTGCCCAGCTGCCCAGAGTCTGTCTGCTCCTAAGGAGGCACTGAATGGGGTCACGGGCGGGGCACTGGCCTGACTCTAGATTTGCTTTTCTACCTCTTTTGTTACTTGGAAAATACTTTTTACTTTTTCAATAAACTAAGTGGGGGGGGAGCCTGGTGCTGCCTGTTTCTCACATTTGAGGGTGCTTGGGCCTGGGGCTCTGGGCAGGGCAGGGACTGGCACAGCTGGAGTTGGAGGAGGGAGGGGTGTGGTGTGCTGGTGAACCACCTAGGTAGCAGGTGGGGTGGGAGGGAGGGGGCAGGGCCAAGTCAGGGTGAGCAGGGCGTTAAAGCTGGCTTTTGGGTCAGCAGAGGAGGGAATTCAGAGCAGCATTCCTGGCCAAGCCGAGAGCCCTGCCACTGCCAGCACAAACCAGAATGAGGAGCCCAAGGAAGAATTTGGCTACCCTGCCTTTAGCAGGGCACGAACCCAGGGCCTGTACCTACCTCCTAGGCATAGGCCAGATAGTCACCTAGAGAAGAGACGTGGGTGGAGGGCAGTGGACCACACGAACACCCTGTAAGCTGAGCCCAGTAACCCTGCTAGAGTGAAACTAACACCGGCAGCTCCAGCAGCAGCGTGGGGCCTGTCCAGTGTATTGCTGTGGGCAGCAGGGTGCATGTGCTATAAGCAGGTCCTGCCTCTCAGCCAGTCTGAGTTCTTGGATGCCAGAGGCTGAACTGAAGCAGCTAAGGGAGAAAACTGTCAGCCATGCACTAGAGCACGTCCTGTGCTCAGCCTGAGCGCCTCTGTGCTGTTAGAGGACAAAAAGCTCAGGCAAGAGATTATTCAGCATTCCCAGATGCTGTCAGTCCCCTTTCACAGGGAGGGTCCCCTTCGGGGGAGGAAGCCCCAGAACAAGGCAGGAGTGGTACCCTTAGAACAGACAGTGGGGGGTGTTGACGGGGAGAACTAAGTGTAAGCTGCCAGCTGGGGGTGACGCTGCAAGTCTCTCCAGACAATGAGAGAACTATGCAGCACTGAGGCGTCAGTGCCTGCGGTATGGGTAGGTTTCTGTGGCTCAGGGAAAGGTAGAGAGATCTTACAGAGCAAACTTAGTCCAGGACTCCACGGTGGCATTCTCTGAAAGTGTAGTGCCACAGGCAGACCTGGAGAGCCGGTGTTTGAACTGGGGAACCTTTACGGACAGGAGAAGCCTGAACCAGGCCTGGCATGGGAATGTGAAGGGCTGGAGGAAAGCTGGCAGGTGCAGGAAGAGACCTCCCTTAGTGTGACTATTAAAGAAGGGCACTCTACCAAAGTGGAGGTGGGGCTGGTGAAGCCAGTCACATGTATGGAACGGAGTCCTAGTTACATGCAACACATGATGACAAGTGCTTATATACAACGTGAGACGTCTGCTCTCAAGCTGCCTGGTGCGCACTGAGGATACGCGGGAGTGAGGTAAAGGGGACCCAGCAATGCCAGCGTACGAACAGCAGGGTGCACTGGTGCGGGAGTGGTGTCTCTGGAAGAAAGCAAAGGGCCACATGCTGCAACCACCTGGAATGAATTAAGCTGGGGCTAGAAAGGCCTGGCTGCACTGCCACAGGAGCAAGCTACTGCTGCTAGAGACAGACGGTGCTTGTGAAATGCTCAGGGCCATTAGGGAAGCTACAAAGGAAGAACACTCAATAATAGTGGGGGACTTCAAAGAGCCTCACCCTGACTTGGCATGTGCCACCACAGGAAAGGGTGCACCAGTCACATTGCTAGACCCCATAGATGACTGCTTGTGGGGCAGTGTGTGCTACAACCCCCAAGGGGCAAGGTCATTCTTGATTTAATCCTATATGCATAGGCTCTGGTCCAAGAGAATACAGCTGAACTGCCCTAATGTAATTACATGAAACATCCCGGGGACTCAGCAAACGGTCAGAGAAATGCACCACGGTAGCATTTACCTAGACAAAGACGCCGGGACTGCTTACATGTAAGCTAACAGCAACAGTCACAAGGGTGAAATGCTTGTATAGAAAAGGGCTTTTTGAGAACACCTTGAGAGGCTCAAAGACAATATCTACCCCCAACAAAAGCAAGTAAGAAGACAAACACAATGCCAGCATGGCTAAACAGAGAACAGGAGGCAGTTCGATTTTTAAAAAATAATTCTTGAAAAACTGATTGTCAAATCCTGAGAAAAATAGAAAGGAGCATAAAAGCTGATAAGTCAAGTGTAATTGGTCAGCCCCAGAAAGAATCTGAAGAGCAACTAGCAAAGGACACAACCTAACCACAACAAGGCTGTGTCTACACTGGGCCACTTATTCCAGAAAATCAGCTGCTTTTCCGGAATAAGCTGCGAGCTGTCTACACTGGCCCTTCAATTTCTGGAAAAGCAACAACGCTCTACTGTACAAAATCAGCCGCTATTCCGGAAAAGCTACGCTGCTCCCGCTCGGGCATAAGTCCTTATTCTGGAAAACTGTTCCGGAAAAGGGCCAGTGTAGACAGCCCAGTAGTCTTTTCCGGAAAAAAGCCCCGATCGCGAAAATGGTGATCGGGGCTCTTTTCCGGAAAAGCGTATCTACATTGGCCACAGACGCTTTTCCAGAAAAAGGGCTTTTCCGGAAAAGCAGCCTGCCAACGTAGATGCTCCTTTTCCTGAAAAACTGAAAACGGAATAGTATTCCGTTTTAAGCATTTCCGGAAATTCATGCCAGTGTAGACACAGCCCAACTGTTTTAAGCACATCAGGAGCATGTTCCATAGAATCGCTATGGATAGTAATTCCCTGCTCTACTAAGAATATAACAGTAGGGATTTATTATCGACCACCTGACCAGGACAGTAATAGTGAGTATGAAATGCTAAGGGAGATTAGAGAGGCTAAGGAACTCAATAATAGTGGGGGATTTCAACTATCCCCATATTGACTGAGTACATGTCACCTCAGGACGAAATGCAGAGACAAAATTTCTTGATACCTTAAATGACTGCTTCTTGGAGCAGCACATGTCCTGCAACTACTGCCATGTGTCAAACTCACCCAGCATCCACTCGCCCCCACGTCTCCTGCCAGTGGCAGAACTGGGGCACCTTGGGGGGAGGAATGGGGTGAGAAGCACTGCTGCAAATGCTGTTGCCAAACCTGAACTCTCTACTACTAGAGAGAAAGGCAGACACTTGAGTGAGGCAGGGACTGAAAAAGACTGGAGCATCCTTTTGCCTTCCCATTTACTTTGTACCATATTGCCACAGGCCTGTTAGGAAGACTGACCAAAATGTAGAGCAGCTCTGATGCCCCTCAGGAGCCAAATTGAAAAACATAGTAGAAGAACTAAAAAAGAGCCACCAAGGTTTAGCAACCATGTAAAAGAAGTAGTCAGAGATAAAAAGACATATTTTAAAAAGTGGAGTCAAATCCTAGTTAGGTAAATAGAAAGGCGCATAAACACTGCCAAATTAAGTGTAAAAATGTAATAAGAAAAGCCAAAAAGGAGTTTGAAGAACAGCTGGCCAAAAACTCAAAAGGTAATAAAATGTTTTAAGTACATCAGAAGCAGGAAGCCTGCTAACCAACCACTGGGGCCCCTGGACGGTCGAGATACAAAAGGACAAGTAAAGACAATAAAGTCATTGTGGACAAACGAAATGAATTCTTTGCTTCAGTCTTCATGGCTGAGGATGTTAGGGAGATTCCCAAACCTGACCCCTCCTTTGTAGGTGACAAATCTGAGGACTTGTCACAGATTGAAGTGTCATTAGAGGAGGTTTTGGAACTAATTGATAAACTTAACAGTAACAAGTCACCAGGACCAGAGGGCATTCACCCAAGACCTCAAATGTGAAATTGCAGAACTATTAACTAGGGTTTGTAACCTGTCCTTTAAATCGGCTTCTGTACCCAATGACTGGAAGATAGCTAATGTAACGCCAATATTTGAAAAGGGCTCTAGAGGCGATCCCGGCAATTACAGACAAGTAAGTCTAACGTCAGTACCAGGCAAATTAGTTGAAACAATAGCAAAGAATAAAATGGTCAGACACATAGAAGAACATAATTTGTTGGGCAAAAGTCAACATGGTTTCTATAAAGGGAAATCATGTCTCACTAATCTATTAGAGTTCTTTGGAGGGGTCAACAAACGTGGACAAGAGGGAGCCAGTAGATATTGCATACTTAGATTTCCAGAAAGCCTTTGACAAGGTCCCTCACCAAAGGGCCATACATAAATTAAGTTGTCATGGGATAAGAGGGAAGAACCTTTCATGGACTGAGAACTGGTTAAAAGACAGGAAACAAAGGGTAGGAATAAATGGTAAATTTTCAGAATGGAGAGGGGTAACTAGTGGTGTCCCCCAAGGGTCAGTCCTGGGACCAATCCTATTCAACTTATATCTGGAGAAAGGGGTAAACAGTGAGGTGGCAAAGTTTGCAGACGACACTAAACTGCTCAGGGTAGTTAAGACCAAAGCAGACTGTGAAGAACTTCAGAAAGATCTCACCAAACTAAGTGACTGAGCAACAAAATGGCAAATGAAATTTAATGTGGATAAATGTAAAGTGTAATGCACATTGGAAAAAATAACCCCAACTATACATATAATATGATGGGGGCTAATTTAGCTACAATGAATCAGGAAAGAGATCTTAGAGTCATCGTGGATAGTTCTCTGAAGACGTCCACGCAGTGTGCAGTGGCAGTCAAAAAACCAAACAGGATGTTAGGAATCGTTAAAAAAGGGAGAGAGAATAAGATGGAGAATATCTTATTACCCTCATATAAATCCATGGTGCACCCACATCTTGAATACTGCGTACAGATGTGATCTCCTCATCTCAAAAATATATACTGGCATTAGAAAAGGTTCAGAGAAGGGCAACTAAAATGATGAGGGATTTGGAACGGGTCCCATATGAGGAGAGATTAAAGAGATGGGGACTTTTCAGCTTGGAAAAGAGGCATCTAAGGGGGGATATGAGAGAGATCTATAAAATCATGAGTGGTGTGGAGAAAGTGAATAAGGAAAAGTTATTTACTTGTTCCCATAATATAAGAACTAGGGGCCACCAAATGAAACTAATGGGCAGCAGGTTTAAAATAAATACAAGGCAGTTCTTCTTCACACAGCGCAGAGTCAACCTGTGGAACTCCTTGCCTGAGGAGGCTGCGAAGGCAGGACTAGAACCGGGTTTAAAAGAGAACTAGATACATTCAGGAGGTTAGGTCCATAATGGCTGTTAGCCAGGCTGGGTGAGGGGTGGTGCCCCCAGCCCTGTGTCAGAGGGGAGATGGATGCAGGAGAGAGGTCGCTTGGCCATCCCCTGTTCGATTCACCCCCGGGGCACCTGGCCCTGGCCCTGCGGGCAGACAGGGAGCTGGGCCGGAGGGGGCAGGCGGGCGGCGGGGCTCGGGGAGCAGCCAGCGAGCTGGCACCAGCGCTCGGTGCAGGCGCAGGGCGGGTCCCGCTGTTTCTAGGCGCCCGAGGAGCAGCCCAGGCGAGG